TTTGAAGAGAGAAGGCTAGCCCAAGAGCAGTCAGGGCTTGTCAAGGCTAGCCTAAGTCAGTTTGATCAGCCGTCCTTGGACCTTCCACACAGATGCCAAAGGCACCAGAGTGCATCAGAGTCTGTCCTCCACAAATGGAGTTTGCCTTTTCGAGCTTGTCAAAAGATCAAAAGGAAACCCTCAACCAGAGGGTCAATTTATAGATTCAACCATTAAATCAAGACATATCCTCAAGCACATGGGACATGAACCTGATAGTAAATCAAAGACTTAATCTAAGTTAAACCACCTGGCTAAGAAGCTAGAGCTAGAGACTTATAATTAACAGCGTCTGCCCAGCCCCTGCTGAGCCAGCTGGCAGGTGCCATGCCAGGGCAATCTTATTACTGCCATGGGGCTTTTGGGAGGCTCACCTTCCATTATGGAGGTTTTGCTTCATCTCTCTCTCTCTCTCTCTCTCTCTCTCTCTCTCTCTCTCTCTCCCTCCCTCCCTCCCTCCCTCCCTCCCTCCCTCCTCATCCTGGGCTCCATGTACTTCAGCAGTTTGGGCCTCTTAGCTTCTTCTCAAACAGGTCAAGGGCACTTGCAGTTGAAAGTCCTTTGTACCTTTCTTACCCCATCCTTCTTTTTTCTGCTGCTGTGCTAAAAGGCACGATAGGAGAGACTTTAGGGAGAAAAGGTTTATTGTGGCTCACGGTTCAAGGTACAGTCCGTCATGGCATGGAAGTAGATGTGGCTAGACCCTGAAGCAGCTGGTCACATGACATCTGAAGTCAGGAAACAGAGAGATGCTTCCAATGACTTAGCATGTCACCGTGACATAAGTCAGCATTATCAGAAAGAAGAAAGCCTCAGTTGAGAAAATGCCTCCTCATGGTTGTGTGTAAGTCTGTTGGGAATTTTCTTAACTAGTGACTGATGTGGGAGTTCCCTCTGTGTGCTGTGATTACCATTAATGAATAAAGAAATTGCCTTGGTCTGTTGATAGGGCAGAACTTAGGTAGGTGGAGAAAACTGGATTGAATGCTGAGAGAAGGGAGGCAGAGAGAGAGAGAGAGACTCTATGGAGCCACCACCAGAGTCAGACATGCCGGAACTTTAGCTGGTAAGCCACTGCCACATGGTGATACACAGATTAATAGAAATGGGTTAAAATCATATGTAAAAGTTAACCAATAAGAAGCTAGAGCTAATGGTCCAAGCAGTGATTTAATTAATGCAGTTTCTGTGTGATTATATCAGGGTTGAGCAGCCAGGAACCAACAAGTGGCCCCCTCCTCCTACAAGTAATTGATGTGGGAGGTCCTAGCCCATTGTGGGTGGGCCTTCCCCTGGCTTGGTGGTCTTGAGTTCTAAAAGAAAGTAGGTTGAACAAGCCATATGTAGCTAGCCAATAAAAAACTCTCCCTCCATGGCCTCTACATCAGGCCATCTGCTCCTGCCTTCAGATTTCTGCCCTGTTACAATTTCTCATCAACTTAGATCATGAAACCCAATATGGACAAGTTCAACAGAACCGCCATATACGGGCTTCCCATGCATGCTTCAGCATTGCCAGGGCACAAATTTCATTTTTCAAAAACAATTTCTACCCTGTCTTTTTCTGATGATGAACAGTGATGTGGAAGTATAAGTCAACTAAACCCTTTCCTCTCCAAGTTGCTTTTGATCACCGTGTTTCATCATGGCAATAGTAGCCCTAACTAGGACAGCTCCCTTTCTCCATTTTCTATAGTTCTGAATCCCTGACTCAGGAACCACTTCCACCCACAATTAAGACTGGTTTTCAAAATAATTAATGTAATCAGACATTTCGAGAGGCCCATTTCTAAAGTTATTCTAGATTCTTTCAAGATGGCAGCACTAACCCTCACACACACACACACACACACACACACACACACATACATGCACCTACACACACACACACACATACACACACACACACACACACACACACACACACACACACACAACTTGCCTTTCAGATTGTCTCAAATGGTAACTCTGTCACACCCTATTTAGTTCTGTGAGTCCCTTCCATAGTCCTAACGTGTTCCCCAAATTTCATGTATTTGAAACCTGATCCTCATCATAGTGGTATTGAGAGATGGAGTTTTGGAGAGGTGACCATGTCAAGGAAATGCTCTCAGGAGTGGATCTGTCAGTTCATGGATGAATCATCAATGAGCTATCCTGGTGTTGGGGACTGCAGACCCTCAGACCCTGAATTTTCTGTGGCCCTTTGCCTGCCGGAGTAAACAATTTGTTTTACTATGCTTGCAGCTGCTCTGAGCATGAGACCCTCATGAGTTCCTGAAGGAAGGTGAGTAGTTTCTGGTGGGCTTTCAGCTGAAAAATCCTGAGAGCTAGGGCATGGTCATTATTCAAGGAGCTTCCCAGATACAAAATAAAATTGGTATTCTTGTTTCAAGGATGACCTATGTCTCTGTCGACCTATGTCTCTGTCTGTGTGTGTTTCAATTTCCAGCCCCTTGCCCAACTCGTGAACCATCCCATGGTACAGGTACCACATCCTGGGAACAACTAACCCCTGTAGCAGACTTTCTTGGTACTTCCTTAAGTACTCTCTGCCATAGTGTGATGCAGCAAGAAGACCTTCAGCAGAGACATAGCCACACTCTTGGACTCTAATCCTCCAGAACGATAATATAAATATATCCATTCTCTGTAAGTCTCTCAATCATGGCATAAAAGGACAACAGAAAATGGAATAAGACAGTCCCTCCCATTGCTGCCACGTGCTTACACCATTTCTGCTGTTCCCACTTACTGCATCTCTGCAGTCTGTTTCTTCCATTTACTTGGGGACAGTAATTTCACCTCTCCATTCAGTGCCCTGTCCCCAGTCACCTAGAAATGTCTGTCATATACTAGGCACTTGATGCCCAATCGCTTAACCATATGATTGATTTAATGCTCAATTAAATGGCTAGCTAACTAATTCAGCACCTGTCATGCCCATCTGGCTAATAAAACCCCATCAAAACCAAGGCTGGGAGGCTGAGGCCATAGCTCAGTGGTAGAATACTTACCTAGCATAGACAAGGCCCTAGGTTGATTACTTGGGTTACCAAGACCAATAAGGTTCTCTTAGACAAGCAAGCCATGATCCCTGGTATCTTTTGAGTATAACCAAAGTACATGATATTCTTGTCTGAAATGGTCTTTATAAAATCCATCACTATATACATTGAATTCATACCAATACAATTTATTTTTAAAACCTCACCTGAGTTTCAGATAGCAGGTTGGCACCCTTGGGATAGAATTCAAATACCCTGCTTCTCCCAACCTTATCTCAGGAATACACACACACACACACACACACACACACACACACACACAGTCATGCACGCACGCACTGCTGTTTTTCTTTGCCCTCTAGTGAACTATATTTGCTCTCTGTCCCTCAAGGACACCTCAGGTTCTTGTCACATGTGACATCTCTTCCTAGAGTGGTCCTCTCTGTCATCCCCGCTCTTCCACCCAGCCAGCCTCTGTGGCTTTGCATCCCCTCATGTGCACTCACCACACTCTTCTAGACTGTCTTCTTGCTGTCCTGGAAGTCTTCCCAGACTTAAACTGCTGGCGTGTGTTGCTGACTTTCTTGTCTCCATGGTACCCCAGCACCTGCGGCACTGGACATGAGTTACTGTTTCTTTCCAATAGTTTTTGAGACACTATTTCACACACTACAGGCTGGCCACAGACTCACTATGTTACTGAGGGTGAGTGGACTTCTGATGCACCCACCTCCACCTCTCACATGCTTGGACTGCAAGTGTGCTCTACCATGCCCTGTTTATGACGTGCTGGGAATGAACACAGGATCTTATGCATGCTAGACAAGCACTCTGCCAGCTGAGTTTTCTCCTAGTCCAAGGTTTTGAACTTCCACGCATTCTGTGTGTAGGGCCTTTCACACCAAGCAGCTTTCCAATTCCCTGTGCACAAAACCTGAGTGTCCTATGAGTCAACTCAATTCTGTTGTTTCTCTGGGATGACAGCTTGACCCCCATGAGTAAGTGACTTAGTTCACCAAACTGTAATCCAAGATACCAATCACATTCCCAGGTTGTGACCTGTGTTTGACTCAGTGGCTGTAAACTGGAAGTTTCCAAAATCCTCCCCCAGGTTGGATCACTGGCTTTAGAATGACTCACAGAACTTGGGAAGGGGTCTGATTCACTATTGATGGATAATTGTTAAGGATCTAACTCAAGGACAGGCGAATAGCCATGACTGCCAAGTGAGATACCCGTCATACATATGAGTCAGCTCATCGTCTGTTCTTAAATCAGTGATGATCATCTTTTCCTCGCTTCTCCTCAAACATGGAGCTGGGATACAATAAGGAATGGGGCTCAGAGTTCCAGCTGTTTGGTTTCATGGTTGGTTCTCATACAGCCTCCCTCCATCCTGAAGCTAGCGAAGTACCACAAAGAGACCCACACACACACCCCTACAGCAGCAGTGCTGGTATGGCTGAGGGACACTTGACATAAATACAAAAACTATTCTGTCCTCTTACCACCTGTAGTGGTTTGAAAGAAAATGGCCCCCAGAGGGAGTGGGACTATCAGGAGGTGTGGCCTTGTTGGAGTAGATGTGGCCTTAATGGACAAAGTGTTTCACTATAGAGGTGGGTTTTGAGGTCTCATATATGCTCAAGTCATGTCCAGTATCCCAGACCACTTCCTACTGTTTGTCAGTCAAGATGTAAGAACTCTTAGCTCCCTCTCTATCACCATGTCTGCCTGGATACTGCCTTGCTTCTCTCCATAATGAAAATGGACTAAACCTCTGAGCTGTAAATGAGCCATCACAATTAAACATTTTTCTCTGTAAGAGTTGCTGTAGTCATAGTGTCTTCTCACAGCAATAGAAACCCTCAGTAAGACAATACCATTGCTCAAAAGATTGTTCTAGAACATTCCAGAGGTTCTAGAAGCACCATGTAAGAACTGAGGAACTGTAGCCCATTTATTTCTTCCTCCAGTACTGAAGAGGCAAAATACAGCATGAGGATAAGGTCATGGCTCTAAAGACCAGTAGTTTGCATTCTAAATATTTTACTTAATGGATGTGTGGCCTGAAACAAATTCCTTAAGATCTCTGATATGTGTTTCTCATCTACAAATAGTTCATAAGCCATTTGACACCAGTCTCTGGGCTTGGAATGTGACACTGGACAGCAGTGCAGCTAAACTCCTATATGACAATAAGGAGCCAGCTATGGGAGCACAACATGGAGGACGAAGAACATGGAGGTGGAAGGAGCATTGTGTCTGAGGCAGGAGGCAGATACAATCTTGTGTTGTTCAGGGGAAAAGCATGTGTGCATTTGGCATCCTCAAAAGCAGGGCTCATACCCTGGGAACACACACGGCTACCCTTTTTATTCTGGAGACACACAGGGACAAGCTTTTTACCCTGATTCTGGCTCCTTACCCAGTCTCCTCCTGGTCTAACCAGCTCATGGATCTAGCTACCATCTCCAGCTGACAGGAGCCCCCACTTGTCGGTATGACTTTCTTCCTAATTCATCCATACCTAACATCTCCCCCACTTAACTCCCAAGATGAACCCTACCTGCCTGACCTCAGTGCCTTACTTTGGTGTTCTACAATCTCAGGCAGCACCAATAATTAGGTTTTCTCAGGCTCTTGAGCTAAAAATATTTAAGATAGACCTTACTGGGTAGTGGGGAGACAAAAAAAAGTCAAGACTCAGATTTCAGGCTCTGATATTACTGAGAACTAGTTAGGTGAGAGTAGATATCAAACCCACATCCCAGTGGCCCACGGTCTCAACCTCCTATGGCTCCATTCTCTCCACATGCTCACCTCAACAGCCTATATTGACAGATATTTTGTTCTTAATTTGTGTCTGCTTCATCTGGAAACTTCCAGCAAAGATTCTCAAGCAGCGATCATGTCACCTACTACAGGTAATTTGATAGTATCTAGAGACATTTTAGATCATCACAGTAGAGTCTAGATGCTGTTGGACTCTAGTAGGTAGATGCCAGGTATGCTCTTGACCATCCTATAATGAGTAGCACATACACTGACATGACAGATTATCTTATCTCAGTGTCAAGAGTGCCATGGTGGGAAAAACTACTGTTAACCCTTGAACTCAACATACAGAAAAGAGATACTATGGGTTCTGGAGATAGCTCACCTGTTTAAGTTCTTGCTGCACAAGCAAGAAGACCTGGGTTCAAATTCCCAGAACCCATGTAAAAAGGTAGGCATGGAGGTACACACTTGTAATTTTATCTGGAGAGGAGAAAACAGATCAATTCATGGGGCTTACTGGCCAGCTATCCTGGATCACGTTGTAACCTCCAGGCCAATGAAGCTCCCACAAAACAATAAAGTGGAAACTCCTAAGGAACAGAACCCAGTGTGGACCCCTGCTCTTCACATGCACATACAAACAAGCACACGTATGTACATACAGTTACACACAGAAGCAATGTCAAACCATACCTAGCATGTAGATGAGTTTCAAAAAACTCAAGACAAGGAATGTGTGGATACAGGAGCATCCTATACAAATGCTGCTGTTCTCAGGCAAGAATAACAGACTCAGTGGCCAGTAGTCCTAAGATGTTCTTACACATCACCTTAAAGAACACACGCATGAATAATCACTGCATGTTTTCTCATCACTGTGAACAAAATAATGAAGAGAAACAACGTAGAGAAGGAAAGATCTATTTTAGCTTGTGGCTTTGTAGGTTATAGCCTAGCCTGTCAGAGAGGCCATGGAAGAATAGACCAGCTCACATTATGGTGGACATGTCAAAGCATAAGAGAATAGAAGAGGGTCTTGATGTGGCATAGCCCTTAGTCAGTAGTAAGTAGTAGGAGCTCCATCCATACAGACCTACTTCTTTCTGAAGGGCATTTCACATTACAGTCATTATGAGTAAATGAACTCTGTCTCTACTTAGTCCACTGTGTGGGAGAATGTGGGACCACATGCTGACTACATTTAGATTCTCCCAGACCCTGGTCACCATTCTGTGTAGTACAAATAATAAAAACCCAGAGACAGATATTGGGATTCAACCTGAAGATCAGGAAAGCCACTAGAGAGCTCTTACTTCTACAAATGAAAGAGAGCAAGTTTCTGTCTCCTCCTGCCCTGTATTCCTCTATAGTGCTGGGATTAAAGGCGTGCACCACGGCAGCCTAGCCTCTATGGCTATCTAGTGCGGCTTCTGGGATTAAAGGTGTGTGTCATACTGCCTGGCAAGTATGGTTGAAAAGTGTGGCTGTTTGGCATTCTAATCTTCAGGCAAGCTTTATCTATTAAAATACAAATGAGATATCACTACATTTCCCCTTTTGTCTAAAATAAAAAAGGAGGTTATAACTAATATAAGAAAAACTACATACAGTAACTACAATAACTATATATAATGTATGCAGGCAATAACTACATCAACAATGTCTATTCCATTTGCATTAGACAAATTCAGAAAAAATAGTCCATATTTATCCTAACTTGATGAGTCAAAAGCTTTGTACCTAATTTCCTTTCTATCATAACTTGCTTTCTGTGTCTAGTAAACAAGGAAAACTATAACTATCTAATCTTCAACTTCCTCAGACACCCAGGAAGGAAATAATATTAACTGAGTAAGCAGAAAGTGCAAGCAAGTGACTTCCAAAAACTGTGAGTAATGACAAAAACATCTGACTTCCTGGATAGTCACCCAAAGATCCTCTACAACATTGGGACATTCATCTTCAGCCTACTGGCCTAGCATATTCAACATACTTTTCTGTGAAGCAGAATATTCTGAAGGGCTGTCCTGCCTTGTCTTGACAATGTTTGGCAGTCACTTACTTTTATGTACTGCTTGTCCAATTAGGACAGCATACGGCAAACAGTTGAAGCAGGGGCATTCTCTTGCCCAGCAGATTACTTTTGCCACAAAGAAAGTAAACTCCATGTCCATTATCTTCTCTGAAGCAGATTGGTGCTGACAAGAGCAGACATGTCTCATTGTCATAAAAAGAGAACCAATGTTATTCAAACATCTTAAATGCCATATGCTGTAGACCTCTGAAGTGTTTGAAGATGACCTGTCTACCTAAAACATTTCTTAGTTTGACTTTGAAAACATACCTAATGTGACTACAAATTCAGTTATAAAAAGTGGTTAACTATTAATCTGCATTTTCTTACTATCTTAAACAGTTGGGTGACTACAAGTTCGATTATAAAAGGTGGTTAACTACTAATCCGCATTTCCTTATTATCTTAAACAGTTGATAATAATAATTTTCAAGAACTAGAAATTTGCATTACACTGTTAAATGTTTTTAAATTGTATAGTTTTAGTACCTCAAACAAGAGAAGAAATGTATATAGAGTATGTTCTAACAAAATAAATCTCAAATTTGTATCAATATAAAAAATTTGTATACAATATACACAAATCCAATCTGATGTAAAATATTTAAAGCTAGTATTTGCTTTTTAAAAGTAGATTCAATAATCTATGTTTTATATAATCATATCTATATCCTCCTCTTTTTCTTTTCAGAATAGATTCATTAACCTACCCTTTTACCATATCATATCTATATCCTCTTTTTTCTTTTCAGAACAAGAACTCTTATCTAGTCTTTGTTCAACTTTCCTCCTAACTGTAACAGCTTGTAACCAACCTCCCTAAACAATGACAAATATCCATAATCCACTGAATGGCCAAAAGCCACCCACCCCACCTCTTGGGAATGTGACCATCATGTTCTTAAATTTACTTCCTGTTCTCTGGGAGTGATGGTTAATTTAGGTGATCTGAAAAAGAAAAATGGGGGTTAACTGTCAAGTTCTGAGAGAGGTAGCTGTATCATCTGTTGTCCAGTCTCTGAAAAATGGGAAACTCCAGGGCTTGAGTTCTGCCTAGAGTAGTCTGTTCGGCTGGATTATCTCAGCTAGCCACCTCAAAGTTATTCTGAGTAGTTTGTACTCTAAAGTTGATCTTTAGGTGGTGTTTTTCATCTTAGTGGTGTTATCATAGTCCTGGAGGAATTGTCGTTGTGGGGTACCACCCTTCTTTTGGAGACATCAAATGTAGCTGTTAGGCATGCTCATGGTTCACTGCAGAAAACTGATAGAGACTCAAACACAAAATCATGTTCAGGAAGGTAGATGAAACTTTTTTCTAGAATTAGTTAGCACCCTATATGATCATTAATATCATGATAAAAAGTTTAGTCTATATGTGTGTATGTGTATGTATTAATCTTTTAAGAAAAGCTGTTCAAGAGACAATATAAAACCAAAGGATTGTGAGATTAGTAGCAATAAAATAGTCCTTAAACATTTGACCCATCTCGTACTCTTCCTTACCTTAGATAAAGTTCCAATCCCTAAATCCTGACATTTACATCCTGAAGAGGTCAATTTGAATGCCAAGATTCTGATAAAATTATTGTTATATCCACACCTGTGTCTACCAGACCTTCAATGACAGCATCATTTATTTGTATTTTTAATTTTAGTCTTTGTTTGTTTATAGAAGTTTGCCAAAATACTCACTTTACGGTTTCTCCTGAATTTTTTGTTCTCTCTTCTATAGCTGTTCTGTTATCTAGAGCAGTATGGCTTCTTACAATAGGCATTAGGTTCTTTAATTGCTCTGAGGAGTTTCCTCTATGATGACAGGAAATGACTGAACCAGATTTGGCATGAGAAGCCCCTCATGGGATTTCCTGATTGAAAAGGATTACCTTGAATAGTCCTCATTGACCTACATTCATTAGTCCAGTGTCTGCCTTTGCCACACCATTTGCATAATCCAGAGCAGAGGAGTATTCTGAATGCATTATTCTTAGAAAAATAATTGTTTCTAGGAATGTCCTATCTACAATCCCTTTTAAGGTAACCTTGTTTACCACAATTACAACATTTGACATTTTGATTTTTCCTCAAATCTCTGGAAATCACCTCTCCTATCCATGTGTCATCATTGTCATAAGATTCATGAGATTTAATATTAATTGTATCTCTAATCCATCCCTCCAAAGGTGCTGACCTCGCTTTTTATGGCCTAATTATCCTTTTGCACGGAGAATTGGTATTTTCAAAAGCCAGAGATTCAATTATTATTTGTCTAGTTTCTGAATTTGGTATCATTCTATTTGCTGCTGAAATTGATCTTTGTAAGAAATCTGTAAAGACTTCCTTTGGACCCAGTATAGCTCTAGTAAATTTTCAATTTTCTTTCCTATTTCTCCAATTCTGTACCAAGCATTCAAAGGTACTACATGGTATAAATCCAGGGTGTGGTCATCATATACAGCTTGCCTTTCTATGGTAGCATAATCTTCTTCTACAAGAATTTGATCTTGGAAGAGTTCCCTCTTCTGTGAACCAGATACTCCATTGTAATTGTGGACCAGGCTCTAAAACACTTTTAACCAATGTTATCCAGCCTTTAGGAATAATCCTATTATAAACTGACAACAAGTTTAACATTTGTCTCACAAAAGACGAATGCATGCCATATGAGACTATTGTGTCCTTGAATCTCCTTAAATCTAACATTGGCACAGGAGCCCAGTTAGCTGTAACAGAGCCCCTGCCATTTGGCAATTCCTGTAAGGTTACTGGATATATTAAGGTTGATTGTTTGAAAACCTTAGGTTGTTCTTCTCTATTTTTATAATATGATACTGAAATTGGTTCTCCATTAAATTCCTGTCTGGATTTTAATATTTCTGTGATCTCTTTTATTAGGTTTTTCATAGGCCTGTATCTTAGCATTCAGATTAATTAACTTTTTAGTGATGAGACAAAAATGCTAAAGCTGATAATATCTACAATTGACATTACGTAAATCCTGTCTAAATTAAATATTCTCTTATTTAATCATTCTATTCTCAAACTATATGGCATATTACCATCTAGAGATTCAAATCCCTCCATCTTAATGGTCGTTCCCATTTTTTAATGTTGGAAAAATCTCTCTCTTATAAATAATTGCTCCCTTTAAGAATTCCCAATTGCCCTATCAAATCTACCAATGATATTGATGAAGATGTAAGGTTTATTACTGCTGTGTAGGACAGTAGAGAGCCTGACAGGATTTCAAGGCAACTACCTAGTTTGGAAGCATCCCAAGAAGGGAGTTCAGGGATAGCCTACAACCCATGAGAGGGAGGGGCTAGGGGAGAGGGAGAGAGAGAGGGAGAGAGAGAAGGAGAAAGAGAGGGAGAACTGGCTGACTGAAAAACACACAGAATTGTTCAGAAAAACACGTAGTAGATGGTGGGGGAAGGGAACTGCCTGAAGGCACAACCAGCCAGTCTAGGGTGGGTGAGTCCTTTGGCATTTGGAGTCCAGGTGCTTCTGGAGTTTGGGTGGCAACTGGAGACTGTTTCAGATAGGCTACAATAAGAAAATCTCAAACTCGTTCAGATGCTTGGGGGGGAAAGGAAAAGGAGAACTCCTACAGCTGATAAATATCTTCAGTGATGTGGCAGGAAACAAGATCAATTTAAAAAAAACTCAGTAGCCCTCTTATATACAAATGATAAAGAAGCTGAGGGGGAAATCAGAGAAACCTTATCTTTCACAATAGCCACAAATAGCATAAAATATCTTGAGGTAATACTATCCAAAGAAGTGAAAGACCTATTCAACAAGAACTTTAAGTCTTTGAAGAAAGAAATGGAAGAAGATATCAGAAAATGGAAAAATCTCCCATGCTCTGGATAGATAGGATCAACATAGTAAAAAACAGCAATTCAACCAAAACCAATCTTTAAATTCAATGCAATCCCCATTAAAATCCCAACACACTTCTTCACAGACCTTGAAAGAACAATAATCAACTTCATATGGAAAAACAAAAAACCCAGGATAGTCAAAACAATTCTATACAATAAAGGAACTTCCAGAGGGATCACCATCCCTGACATCAAGCTCTATTACAGAGTTACAGTAATGAAAACAGCTTGGTGTTGGCATAAAAACAGGGAGGTTGACCAATTAAATCAAATCAAAGACCCGGATATTAATCTTCACACCTATGAACACCTGATTTTTGACAAAGAAACTAAAATTATACAATGGAAACAAGAAAGTATCTTCAACAAATGGTGCTGGCATAACTGGATGCAGAAGAGTGAAAATAGATCCATATCTACCTCCATGCACAAAATTCAAGTCCAAATGGATTTAAAACCTCAATATAAAACTGACCACACTGAACCTGATAGAAGAGAAAGTTGGGAGTACAGTTGAATGCATTGGCACAGAAGACCACTTCCCAAATATAACCCCAGTAGCACAGATACTGAGAGCAACAATAAATAAATGGGGCCTCCTGAAACCGAGAAGCTTCTGTAAAGCAAAGAACACAGTCAATAAGACAAAAAGGTAGCCTACTGAATGGAAAAAGATCTTTACCAGACCCACATCAGGCAAAATATATATCTCCAAAATATATAAAGAACTCAAAAAAATAGGCATCAAAATTCTAAATAACCCAATAAAAAATGGGGTACAGAACTAAACAGAGAATTGTCAACAGAAGAATCTCAAATGGCCAAAAGATACTTAAGGAAATGTTCAACATCCTTAGCCATCAGGGAAATACAAATTAAAACAACTCTGAGATACCATCTTACACCTGTCAGAATGGCTAAGACCAAAAACACCAATGATATCTTATGCTGGAGAGGATGTGAAGTAAGGGGAACACTCATCCATTGCTGGTGGGAATGCAAGCTTGTACAAGCACTCTAGAAATCACTATGGCAGTTTCTCAGAAAATTGG